ATCACTTAACAGGAATACTTACGGTTGCTTTCTTAGAACAATCTACATACATGACAGTGTGTTACACGCAACAAAAGTTTATCGTTTACTAATATTATACTAGAACAGGAGTATGTGATTGTGTATTATGAGTATTCCAAAAATTTTTGTGTTGAGAACAGATAGTATTTTGATAATAATCTATAATATATCGATCAAAAGACATTGATACGTATAATAATGCAAGAATAACACTAACTTTTTTTAATGAAAATGGATAGTTAATCTTTATATATATATATAGATAAATTAGAAATATTTATATATTTTAAACCATAGTTTCACACACATAAAAACGGGAATTTCGGCTGGAAACATTTTAATGGTTGTTTACAGTTATCATCTCCTACACGCGAACCGAGTCACGTTCGAAATATCGCGTATCTTGATTTCTAACACGCCTTCAGTTCTCAAACATTGTTCCGTATGTGAAACTGGGTGTGGTAATCGTCTGTTTAGATTTTTAAGATGGAGACGCCTTTTTGCGTGTACGGTATTGACAAAACTCTGACTTACGGTGAGGCAATAGACGGCAAAAGTTTCTCTCGGGAGCATTCTAAAAGATATATAAAAATCTGCGCGTTTTCTCGCGTTGGTGATTTTTCTTAGCCATTCCGAACGATCTTGCTGCAGAGGCGCACAACTTCATCCTCTTGGAATAACACCTGGTGAGATTTACGATGGAGACTTTACCTGAGGAAAATCGCATTCGTTCGGAAGGTTGGACGCCGATGTTTTCACAGAGACTTTTCTTTCAGGTATCGACGCAAATTTTTTCCCCTCTTCTTCTTCATCCTTCCGCATTTGAAAGTCGAGTGCTGTAACCACCTGCCCTACTCGCGTAAAAGGGAAAAAGACAACCTCAGCGGACAGGTTTTACCTGCGGCGGTTCTACCTGGTTTGGAGCCCGAAGGCATACCTGCTAACACAGAGTTTCAGAAAATTTTCTTTCCGACCAGCTGCAACCTTAGGCTTCCCTAATTTTACATCCTCTGTTACGTATGGCATCTTTGAAAACTCTTGACTATCCACTTTCTACGTTTAGGCTCAATTTTACCCGAAACGAAACACTGATTTTATGGTTGCTTGAGCATTTATTAAAGACGAGCGTATCTTCGGTTCTCCACTCGTTATATTATACACAATCTCAGAAGGAAATGGATGCTGTATTCTGCGGATTTCATGCATTTATAGTAACAATGAAAAGAAACTGAGAATGTCGATGTCTTAGTTTCAACTTATGAAAATTATTTAAGACAGAAAAGATTTGCGCTTGGCTCCTATGTTTTGCAATTGATGCAAACATTTATTATTTTGCATAAAGACCTAGAGTCTAGTGATGATAAATACTTCAAACGTTACTGTTGTACAATTCCTTTTTTAAAAATTATAACAGTTCCAATAACAAAAGAAGTTCGACAATTTGTCACAAATAGAAAGCCCAGTATGCAAGTATTGGTAAGTAATTGCCGATATGTTCAATGAAATAAAAGTTTTTTTTTACTTGGAATCAAGTTTAATCTGTAATGTATTTTCCATTTTGTTCGATGACCTTTTGCCATCTCTCTGACAACTTGAAAATTCCACGATCGTAGAAAGTCTGATCCTTTTCGGCCAAAAACTGAGTTAAGTGAGATTTTACAGCGTCATCATCGTTAAAAGTTTTACCACGAAGGGAGTTGTGCAGGGATCGAAATAAGTAGTAATCCGATGGCGCGAGATCAGGGCTATATGGTGGGTGTAACATCAATTCCCAACCAATATTCATCAATTTTTGCCGAGTGGACAAAGACGTGTGCGGCCCAGCATTGTCCTGCTGGAAAATGCCACCTTTACGATCGACCAATTCTGGTCGCTTTTCCTTGACCGCTGCATTCAATTTATCCAGTTGCTAACATTCACGGACAGTAAAAAATAACATAATAATAATAATAATAATAATAATAATAATTTTATAATATAACATTTACGGATATCATAAAAATGGGAGTGAGAGACATCTATAACTGAAATCGGCAATTACTAAGTTGCCAACCCAATATTTAGTACAGTCATTTTATATCGTTTGATTGATTTACAATATTTTTAATCGGTACTAATGAAACGATGAGCCTTTGCCTCCAAGGCTCCGTGAGCCTTGTGCCTTTTCCAAATACGTAACAATGTTTCAATTAGCATGACCAAAATGGTTTCAACATCGCTTGAGTTTCTAAATTGTCAAAATATATTCATTTTTATATTGCCACGTCCATCTACGGGTTTGATCGTTTCATTAACCTTTACAGGTAGTGGAAAAGTCAACATTAAATTTGAGGATGTGCATAATGGTAGACGTTTGATTTGTCGTCACGATTATGCGTTACAGCTTCGACTTTCCGAACCTTCAATATCTGAGATCTTTATTATCCAATCATACAAATATATCAATCTAAAGTCATCCACGCAGTCATTGCACTAATCGGTAAAGATTTCATCTAATAACAAAGTAGCTACTCTATCATTCGACCATTCGTGTTT